ACCTCCCTTAGCACCCAGGAGCATATCCTGCTCTAGATCCAGGTGGGAGCACCTCTGCAAGCCCAGGACAGGCAGTACAGGGATCTAGGGAGTCACGAGGTCCAGATCCCAGTGCCCCCACACTGCCTGTAGAGTGAAACATCCACCCAGAGCTCCCACAGGTGCTGAACATCAGTGTCTGCCCGTGCTCTTCTTCACAAGGGTCAGTCCATTATCTCCATATTGTATTCCAGGGTTGCCAGTCACTTTCTGCCACTTTTAAACCTCTCCAAGGACACATCTGGTACCGTGCAAATCTTGCCTCTGTTTTCTGATCATCATGGAATCATAGAATCTTTGGGTTGGAAGGGACCTTTAAAGGTCATCTAGTCCAACCCACCTGCAGTGAGCAGGGACATCATGCTCAGCATTGCTGCCTTTCACCCTGCAAGACGCAGCAACCTTGAAGTTTGCCATGGGAGGACGCACTCTGGCCATCAGCTAGACCACTGTCTTCCCCTAATTTACATGAAGAATTTGCATCTACTGCCTCTTGTCCAGGCACCCTCATATTCCAGTACTGCCCTTTGGAGTTTCTTTGAGGTAGGGGACAGCCCTTGTCACCAGGCAGAAAAGACCACATCAGAATGTTCTTCTCCCTTTATCTCCCTATGGCTCCCTACAGCAGAATTTACCCAGGTGTCATCTCTTTTCCAGCTGGACCCCTTGACGGTGTTGAAGACTTTGGCCATTGGTCTATATTTCAGGATACTTGGAAGCTCAGTGTGCACAGATTGGGCAGTTCATATCTGAAGCTCTGCCCAAGCCCATGGCAGATAAGCAGAGCCACTGCAGAGCACTGCCGAGCTCCACTTTGCATCTGAAGAACCCCAGGCGGAAAACTCAGAGCCTTCGGGGTTCAGAGTCTTGGCTACCAGGCACAGCAGGTCAGCAGGGCAAAGGACCACCACCACAGTGCCCCTGACATGAGGGGGTGGGAGTGGGGTGCAGGAGGCATGGTGTAAGGGCTTTGCAGGGATACACAAGGTTGAACCACACACCCAACGGTTGTGTGCTGTGGTAGCTACTTGAATGTCCTGCCTGTACTCACACGTCCTGGCTGAGGTTGTGATCCCTGGTCCCTCCACTGAGCCAAAGAGCACATAGAGGGAAATCACGTACTCGGTGTCATGGGCCAGGTTGCGGAGTTTGTAGGCTGTGATTGACTTGTTGAGGGCCAGCTGGCGAGGACGGTCTTTGCCAAAGAATTCTTTGGGAGAGAGAAAATAAAATAGAAGAGGATAAAGACTGAAGAGTCTGGAGAGCAGGTCTGTTGCCTACTGGGAAAGACATCACATTTTCCCCAGCAGTCCATCTCCTGACCTAGCTGAACCTCTGTTGTAGGACACCTGTGTGTGTGCTGGGGCAAGAGTTTTCCTATGGTTACTTATTTGGGAATTTAAATGACTAAATGATCCAAACCAGCTGAGAGGAACTGAAGGAACCAAACCAGCTCTCACATCCAGGGCCCACAGTAATGTGGTGCAGTCCAGGGGCGGCTCCAACGTATGCTCTGCCACTCCCCAGCATCTCCAGGGAGTTGCAAAGCCCCTGAGGTGGATGACCAGTCAAGGTGGTGTAGGACTCTTGCACCCACTGGGATATGCGTTGGGCTGGGGTCAGGCTGAACATAGCTGCTGCAGGGACCCTGCCTGCTGGCATCATGGGTCAGGTCCAGGAATAATTTCTGGTTTCAGTTCATGCCCTGAAGCTGTGGGAGAAGCTGCTCAGAGCAGTTAATGAGCTGGACCTGCCCCTACACACACCATCCCTGAGGTTCTCACTGCCTTATCTTCCATGCCACAGAAGAAGGTGGAGGTGATGCAGGTTGGAGGAGAGTGGGATCTCACCTGGTGTAGGACCCCAAGCCACTCGGTACCCAGTGGCCCCAGCAACTGAGTCCCAGGAGACCAGAGCACTGTTGATGGATATCTCACTCACTTTCAGCATCTGGACGGTGCTCGATGCCACTGCAAAAGAGCAAAGGTGACCAACTTCATCAAGGTCCCAACAGCTTCTAAGTTGCCCGCAAAAGCTGTGATGAACCAGACTGCTTTGTGCTCCAGATGGCAGACAGGGCGGTGACAAATGACACCAGCTCTGTGCTGCCAGCACAGCCTGACCCCCATCCGTGTCTGCTTGGGCTGGCTCTCACCTCTGCTGCAGGGCACTCACCTGTCGTTGCTTTATTGCTCACCACTGGCCCCTCGACATCCCCAAAGATGGGGTTGATGGTGATGGTGTACTCTGTGCCAGGCTGCAGCCCTTGGATCATGTAGTAGCTGTAGGTGTTGCTGAGGTTAACGTCTTGGATGGTGCCCTCTGTGAAAGGAAATGATGTCTGGGCTACCTTGGGTCAGACCAAGGAGGACCACCCTCCTTGGGTGTCCTTGTCTGAGAGGGTGGTGGGCAATCATGCAACCAACCACCTGGGAACCACACAGTGCATGAGATTAAATGGCATTTCATCCTCCTGGCTCACACATGTGCCACCAAGGTCCTCAAACGGAAGATGGTAGGGATAGGGCTTCGTGCAACAAGCACAAACCTTGGTTGAGGAGCTAATGCATATGCAGGTAGAAATAACCCACAGCCACTTGGGCAGACCTCAGTGATCACCAATAGATCAAGGCAACTCAGAGCTTTGCAGGCTAAAGGAAGTAAATCGGGTAGCAACACACACATGGCCACATGCGGGGCTGTGAGCAGTCCCATAAGACAGTCCACACTCAGCCCAGCCCTGGGTGAGTCGGTGCTAGGGCTCTCCTGCCAGTATCTCCTCCAGGATACAGGAGCCAACTGATGCCACAAAAGACATGTTCTCATTTCTGTATCCCTGCTGCGGACTAGAAACCGCTCAGCTAAACCTCTCGGCATCGCTCTAGACAAAGGCATGGCAGGAGAAGAGTTAAAACCTAATCCCTGGGGATCACACCCCGTTTCAGAGGGGCAGAGAGGTGCAGGCAGTAGCAGGTTGGGGTTTTGGGGGGGAAGCTGCCATTTGCAGTTTGGTCACTGGAGGGTGCCATGTCCCCATCTTCTGCTCCACCAGCACCCTGAACCCCATCCCCCTCCCTCTCCCACCCCTCATGCCATGGACCTTCTCTCCACATCAGATGTTCGTTTATGTTTATCTATTCTCTGTCTTAGAAGTCAGAGAAGAAAAATCAAACCCCTCCAGTGCCTGGGACGGCTGCACGGTGATGGGCAGAAGGTGTCTCGATCCCAACGCCATGGCACCATAGCGCACGGCCCCGGGAAGGGACGGAGCATGGGAGGAGGACCCCACAGGACCCAACGACTAGGGTGGGCTGCCCCTTGGGATTTTTGCCACCCTTGGATTTGGTGTGAGCCGGTAGCAGGTGAAAGAGCTGCTCGGAAAGAGCAAACCTGGAGCGGAGTGGAGGCGATGTGCCCTTGTCCCTTCATCCGAGTCCCACGCTGTTCCCTGAAGAAGGGGTATCCCCTCTCCAGAGATGCAGCAGTCTGAGCACGTGTGTGCTCCATTTCTAGCTGAGGTATCGAGCAAGGACTGGGTAAACAGCTGAGTTTTGGGGTGTGTTGTAATTTTTTTCTGGAGAGACATTAATTACAAAGGAATAAAAGAAGTTTTGTACCTTTCCTGTAAAGATTTCTCCCTTGTGATGACCTTTGGAGCTGTTCTCCAACTAACCCCCCCTCCCCTGGTGGGAGATGTCTCCTTACTTCATCACCAGGGGAACGGAGCCAGAGGAGAGTGTGCTATTTATTCAAAGCCTGTGATGGAGCCCAGGTGCCCTGACATCCCGCCTCGTCTTTGAACCACAGCAACATCCATCTTCCAAGGCCAAAATATGCCATCAAACCTGAATTTCTAAATTCTGCTCCCCCACACCAGCAATGAAAATATGTTTGGGTTCAGGGCAGGGGAGAGGCTCCAGCTGCAAATGCAGATCTGTCTTCAAACACCAAAATTTGTCCAAGAATGAGGAGGCATTATGGGGTGCTGGGTGACAAAGACAGGTCTTAGTGCTGCAGAGAGAAAAGCAACAAGCACAGGCGCTTCCAGTCTGTAACGTGGTACCCCCAAAACGGGTAACCCCAGATGCCCAGGGGCTGTGTGATGTGCAGCTCTGCACAGAGCACTCTACCAGCTTCTCTCCAGCTATTAACCCTCTCCAAGGCTACTCAGGACTCGTAAATCCGGCACTAATCCCATGTTAACAAGGCTGGATAACCCTTAGCCTACTTTATGCATAGCCAGAGCAGGTGTTTTTGCATCCATGGTGGAGTTTACCATCAACACCAACGGTACGACTCTCTGTTGCAAGCTGCTGATTTATCCCCATGTGCAGAAAACGCCACCATTCACAAACTCAGAAAACCTGTTTTCCTCCAGTTTCTTGTTGCATGTCTGGATACAGAAGGTGTCAGTGCCCCCGATGTCTTGGGGACCTCACAGCTCCTGTCCCTCCATGTCCCTGCTCACTGATGCATGCATCCCATTCCTGAGTCTCTACCTGCTGATGTCCAGGTGAGTCTGTACCCCGTTGCTCCCCGGACGGGGCTCCACCTTGCCTGGAGTGTGTCAGTGGTCTCGTTCTGCAGCAAGATGCTTTTCACAGGTAGGAGCTTCACTGGAAGGAGGACAGGGGACAAACCTCTCAGGCCACCTACTTGCCAGTGGAGGACTTTGCTGGCTGCCCTCCCTGCATCACTGTTCCTGTCTGCCAGCAGGAGAGGGATTTATAAGGGTTCCTGCCCTCCTGAAAGGCTGAAGGCATCTCATAAAAGCAGTGGTGAAAAAAACCCGTATCTGTGACCATCACTTTACAGGACCAATGCCTCTAATGCACCAATCTCACTTGCTTTATGCAGTGTAGGTGCAAAATAGGAGGGCAAGTGAGGCTCGCTCAGATCTCCCACCCTTCCTCCCAGTGTGATGGTGTTCAAGGGTGTCCATGTCCATGCATGTGATGGAAGAAGAGCAGAGCTCCAGGTCAGAGTTAGGAAGGACCTGTTGAACGCTGCCCGTTTGATATACATGTAGCTGCAGCACCCACCAACTGTGAGGTGCTTATCAACAGCAAAGAGTGTGAACACAGTGCCCAGGGCAAGAAGGGACCAGCCACAGAGTCAAACCTCTTACATGTTCTTCCTACAGCAGCCACAGGCTGGCTCGGCCCCTGGGGGTACACCGCATAGATGCTGATGGTGTATTCTCTATCCTCCTGCAAGTTATCCAGCACGTGGGAAGAAACATCGCCCCGCAGAACCTGCGTGTAGGTCATTCCTGGTCTGTTGGCTGCAAAATCAAGGAGAAGAGTGATGAAGCCTTCCCAGTGCCTGAGTTTTACATCCCATGGTGATGTCTTCACAGTGAAGAGCATGCATAGGAGCTGGTTCAAGTGCAAGGCTGAAGTCCTCCAACCCATGAAATGTTGCTGAGGGTTACATCTGTAGCTAAGGCTTGACATATCCATGCTGTCCCCAGCCCTCCAGATCACACAGATGTGAGTGTGAGCCATACCAAAGGCTTGAACCCATCCCACATCTGCACCAAAACAGGCACCTGAGTATGAAAAAACATCCATGGTAGGTCTGAATGTGACCATGCAAATGGGTCCAAGGGATGCACAGCATCATCCTCATCTTGTTCTTTGGAAGAAAGCCTTCCAAGGGACTCTCCTCCTCTGTCCTAGAGAAACAAACTTTCTGGAAGAGGTTAACCTGGTGTTCTTCCAGAGTAATGCCAAGAGCTCTGTGGTGCATTGTTCCTTGGACAAAATGGCACCTTTCCTGTCCTCAGGTCACTGCTCTTTTTAAAGCAAACTCCAAGACAAATTAATAAATTCTGAACTTACTTCTGGGGATGTAGATCTTGTAGCCCTCCAGCTTGCCCAGTGGAGGTGTCCAAGCCACCTTCAAGCTAAAAAGTCCTTCCTCTATCACACGGAAATTAGTGACTGGAGGCACGGGTGCTTTGGGGTACAAACATATTGCAAAAAATGATGTGACAGTGCTGTAATAAAGAGCCATGGCAAAGATCCTTGGAAAACCTTTCATCTTCAAGGACAAAGAGACACAAAGGTGAGCAGCCAGCACTAATTCTCCCTATTCTCTCAGCTGAATCCTCAAAAGCAACCACTCCCCCTCTACCAAACCCTTGTCTGCTTGAAAAGTGAGCTGAAAATGCCCAAGGCAGAGTACTTGTGGGCTTCCTCTTTGAATGGTGTTGGGAACTGTGAAATATCTACCCACAAGGCATTTCCTCCTGAGCAGAGAAAAGTCTGCAGTGGTTTCATGCAGACTGAGCAAGGACACATGAATCAAATGCTGCTTGCGCCTATGGATGCAACTCTTACAAAGAGGAACCCATTTTGATCCAGCCAGCCATGGCAGACAGATTTATAGCTTCTGCCTCTGGCTTCATGTTGGGGATAATAAGAAGAGATCAAATGACTTTATTTCCACCTATAAAGACATTCCATCTTATTCCTGGCAAATACATGTGAGTCAACCTTATTGAGGTGCTTTATTTATTTATCCTGTTGGAGATCTTCCCTCAAGAACACAAACAATTTAAGTAATTGCAGGGGGTGGGGGAAGAAACAAAAGAGAAGAAAGGAATAATTCTATTCAAAATCCCTTGGGCAAAGCAGACTGGCACTTCATGAAAAAAAGGGGAGGAAGCAGAATTAGTGCATCCCTTAAATTCTTGAAACCCCTTACAGTAGTGCAGAGACTTCTGGGACAAAACCTGTTCCAATCCATCACATTTGACCTAGTGCCTTACACTCCAGGGTTTGGCCAAGAGTGACTTTGCTCCTTTGTTTCAAGAACCTTGTCATTACAGCCAGCCATGTGACAGCAAGGGGATTTGGCATGGCAGATTGCAATCCTGAGGAAGCCTAGATCATTTAATGGGATCAGAGATCACTACTTGGGGCATTTCCTAAAGACCATGATCATACCACCTTGGTGTTCACCTTGAATGAAATGAAGCCCTAAGTGCATGCATAGTCCCAACCGCTGGACCACCCACTTCAAGGTGTTTAGAATATACATCTCTCCATAAAACTCATGTCTGTATTTCCCAACCCATGGTCTCCCAAAGCTTTCTCACCCCAGATACATGGGTGTTACATTAACTGAATCCCAACCTGGATTCATTAAATGCTGCTGGTTATTAAATCATATGATGTGAGCTATCCAGCAGGCTGCACCCTCCACTTTTGAATGGGTTAACCACATGGGTTGCTCTGCACCCACTCACAACCCTGCACCCCACACCATGGACATTTGCACAGAATCCTACCCATTCCTACCCATCCATCCCTCACTCCTCACACATATGGTTTTGGAGTGGGTTTTTTCCTGTGCCCACACAGACAAGGAACACACAGGGATGACTGTAGAAGAGACACTCACTTGTTTTCCCCTTGACAGCTGTTGACTCCCCAAGGGCATCTGCATACACGGCCCTCACTGTGAAGACATACTTGGTGTTGGATTTCAGATCAGTCACCAGCACAGTACTTTTGTCACCATCCACCACAATCTGTCACACAGGGAGCAAAGGACATCATTACACCTCCATGACAGTAGAAGACCCCTATATTTGCAACGGGTTAGTAGCATGAGGCTTCACATCTGGTACAAAATGACTTCCATGAGCAGGAGCCTCTTAAAATGCACTAACTCAGAACATTGCGATCCTCAGATGATATCCAGGTTCATGATGGACATAGCATACCAAGGGTGGGTTTCACGGGGTAGTCCAGAAAAAACTCCATGAAGACAACAGAGTGCATAAGGGTGGTCCCCAGCCCCCTTGAAGTAAATGGAGGAAAAGCAACCATCTTTCACAAAGAAAGTTTCTTTTAAGCTCATAGAGGGAGATTTCAATATAACATGAGGGCAAGAGAGGTGGAGACACAACTTCTGTGTTTTCACTCTGTTCTTATGAGATTCTGAAGCAGCCAAGGATGATCATTCTTGTTAAATACAATCTTAATAATTAATACAATTAATAATCTTAACTTTAATAATTTATGCTTTCATAGCTTTGTTCTATTATTAGAAATCAAAGCTTTTACGCATACATCTTCTATCCTTCAATCTTGCTCTCAAACTTTCTGCAGTGACCAAGCTGAACCAAAGTGAGCTGGCACACATGGCAGCATCCTTCACACAAGGACACGTCACATCCAAAACTAAACACGTGGAGATCTTACCAAGCTGAACAATCTTGGCAGTAAGAGGAACAGGAGATGCTGCTAGGGAAGCTGGATGGGCTTATGTGAGAGGTGGTATCACAGAGGTAAGGAGAGAAAGAGTGCTTCCCATGGACCTGTTCTTATCACCCCAATGGAGTTTGTGCCAATTCATGTTGCATCCTTCCTCCACCCTACCTTCCCCTCCGTCACTGCCAGAAACTCCATCTCATCACAACAGCGATGCCAAAATTAGCAGGAGCAATCAACACACCTGAAAATACGATTGTCTATCTATGGACCTTCACTTCAAGCTTCAGGAATTTATGCCAATGCACTGGGCTGTGACCGGGATGGCTGAGGGACATGCTGCCATCTCCTAATCAGGCTGTGCCATCAGCAGCCTCAGCAGAGGACTAACCCCTCACACCGGGACCTGCAACTGGTGCTCTGCAAAATGGGAATGCAACTCTACCTGCCGCTGGTCCTCCGAAACTGGCTGCCCCGAAGGCAGCAAGGGATGCAGATGGACATGGTACCCCGTCACCCTCCCTGTAGCTGGCACCCACGTGAGTCGCAGTGAGCTGTGGCTGTGCTCAGTGACATGTAAACCCTGGGGGCCGATGATCTTCTCAGCTGCAAAAAGAGAAAGGAAAGGCCTTTGGTTTGGAGCATGATGGTACCGGTGCTGTACATGTGCAAGCTGTTCACTGATGGAGTCAACATATTCAGTGCAGAGAAAGCCTTGGGTATAGATGGCACTCACTTAGGTTGAGAGTGTAAGGGCAGCTGGGATCTGTTTCCAGGCCCAAGAATGGAAAACAAAACTGGTTCTGGCTGTATTTGCCCTGTGAACACCTGCTTTATGCATAGGGCATCAGCTCCTTCCCGCCTTTCTCTTTACTGCCACCAGAAAAGAGTCTGCCAGAAAGCTTGAACTCTCCATGAAATGTCACAGGAAGCCCTGAAGTGCTACAGAACCACAGAGAAATCAAAAAGAGACCCTTTAAGGATTTGGATGAAGTTCTCCCAAGCTCTGCCCCCAAGCTTTTAACTAATTTCCTGACTTTGTGTGCCAAGATGGGGGCAGGAATTCATTGCCATCACCTCTGGATTCACTACAACATCAATACCTCTTTGGGGAGAGATCTAGATCTCTTTGGAGATCTCTTTGGCTGCTCTTTGGATCTTCTGCAAGGAATGAAGTTCCTCTTGAGACCCTAAGCTGTGCTGCTGGAGGCCCATGACGAAAGTCCCCAAGGGGCAGAAATGCCGCCCCAGCCCATTGCTGCTCCTTTTATTTGAACGGGCAGCAAGATTTCCAGGATCCAGCATCACTAGACAAACCACGGAGATGCAGACACAAGCAAAACACACAGGACCACTGACCCCCAAGCAATAGATGCTCCATGAGCTGGCTGCTCCTCTAGGGTCATCCAACCCCTAAAGCTCCCTTGTGATGAACAGAGGGGATGCGAGAGGTCCATCTTCGTGGTGTGGCTGCCATGTCCAGGGACTGGGAAGGGGCTGGTTCGAGCAGGTGGAAAGCAGGATAAAGGGAGAGCCCGTACACACCTTGCACAGTCTGCTTGATGGGCCGTGGTGGCTCTGAGGCAGTGAAACAGAGCCTTCGAGAGAGCTTACGGGCCACGTTGTGGAGCAGGTGGAAATCATCAACATAAAGTACATGCTCTGCGGTGGGCTCTGAAGCTATTTTTTTCAGTTCCTTCTTGTCAGCATCCTTAATTCCTAGAAGAAGAAAAGAAGAGGAAAGGAGGACATCAAACACCATCCCTGGGGCAGGCCAGGCATCATTGGCAAGGCCTGTCAGGAGCAAGTGGGAGCAACCTGCTGGCCTTTGGGTTTTACAGCAGCTTTGTAGTCACGCTGCCCACGGCAAAGGATGAAACAAGGAATGGACTATCAAGCTGGACGGGCAGTGGTGGAGCAGATGAAGCCTCTTTCATCAAGGAAAAGAGGTCAAGGTTTTCTCCAGAGGCATGTTAGAGATTGCCCCAGGGTATTCGGCTGCTCATGGGCCTAGAGGTGGAAAGCTCTCTTGGGGTGGAGAGAGAAAAGGAGCAGGGCAAGATCTGGCCTCATCCTTCCCATTGGATACAGAGACATTTGTACCCTTCTGATGGATGAGCAGACAATGGGACTTCGGGAGGCTGTGTGAAAATTGCAGGCTTTCCCTGTGGTTGAATTAAAAAAAAAAAGGGGGGCGAACCCCAACAAACCAACCCTCCCTAATTTTCACCTCTCATTTGTCCAAATGGACTGTTACTCTCTATAATGAAACACCACCACCCTCTTCTTCTCCCCTGAGATGTTTGGTGAAGGGAAGGATTTGACTTGTAATTTGACTTAACTCTTGGGGGAGGGTGGGGCACTGAAACTTTTCCTTGCCCATGGAATTATTCTGATGGACATTTTAAACCTAGTGTTTCTGTGATTCTGTGTGATTCTGTAATGTAGCTGAGGTTGGTCTCTCAACCCCATTAAGAGAAACCTTCAAAAGTAAAAACATTTCATTTTTGAAAATGTCACATCAAAACATTTTGAGTTTTATGGAACTATTTATTGAACTCCTCCTGAATTCGCAAGTAGTTTTGACAGATGCAGACCCTCAGGTTTCCACTGAATAAATCAGCTATCCACAACAACAAAAAATACCCAAGCACAGCACAGATGTGATTTTCCTGTACTTGCAGTAGGTGCTATTGACTGAACCTGGGGATGGGTGCAATTTTTAGAGGTTTGTGCATCAGGAATCTTCCCCAGGGTGTAGACCATGTGTTGGTGCGCACACCGTATTTGGTGTAACTTAGTGTGTCCGTACGTACCTACAGCAAACACTGTCACCCCCCCATCCCGCAGGGCCCGTGCTTCATTTTCAACTGCGTCGCTGGATTTCCCATCTGTGATCAAAACAACTACCTACAAGAATTGGCATAAGAGACAGAGAATGAAATAGCACAACATGAGGAGAATCCAGAGACAGTTGCAGGATTTTGACACTGACAAGCCAGACCTTGGATGAAGTCCATCTCTCTAAAGGGATGGGCAGTTGAAAATAAATCCTTTGATAACCTACACCTCTGGGGTTAGTCACATGAAATCAGCTTCCATGAGCATGTGAAGGAAGCAGAGCATGAATGCTGCTGCTCATGTCAGCATCTTCTCTGCATGTCTTCTCCTGCCCAACTGTGTCTCACCTCTGCTTGGGGCAGTAACTCTGGGTCCAGAAGGCGATTAATGCCAGCACAGAGAGAGGATTCACCCCTACAAGTCCACAAGAGCATCTCTTATAGAAGGACTCAGACACCTTAGACAACACACTTGGCCACCAGCACCTGGATGGTGCTATCACGTGGTAAGAAAGTCTCTCAGCCACAGCCTGGGTTTAAATGACAGCCAACTCAGCAACCCCAGACATCTCAAGCTTTTTGGTGAGTCCCATGTCAGATCACGTAGCAGGAGGTATGGCTGGCACATGGGATACTATAATGAAGACACACCTTGCTGCAACACCTAAGCAGGTAGTTGAGGCGGGTAACACATCCCACCTGTAGCATTGTGTTCTCCCTCCTGCCTTGTGACCCAAAACAGGTCTCATTGACCACACTGATCACACCACTCCAATCACAGGGATCACACAGACCACATTTGGCATGCAGGATCTCAGAGCAAAGGAGAAGGTGCTGCACCAAGCTGCAAATGTGGGAGGCCCATGAGAGGCGAAAGCTGGCTGTGATAGTTTCAGACACAATTCGTGGGGTTTATCCACTCCCCATGCGGCTGCCTCCTTCTTGATTTCAAGACCATCTACCACCAGAGCAGAGCAGAGCAGAGTGAACTGTTTCATACAGCCTGCAGAGCACAACAGAATGCAACACCTTCTCTTTAGCATCCTCAGCATCCTCAGAGCCCCTTAGATATTATGAACAAAATAATTTCTTAAAAAATGATCTGAAGAAACCAATGACCCAGAACAGATGTCTGAAAGGTAAAGACACTGCAACGTGTCTGCTTTTGGAGTAAGATGCTGACTGTACTGCCACTCTCTGTAACCAGAGTGGATGGCAGACTATTAGCAGCAGCTGCCTGCACCAATACCACAACTCGTCTCCGTGTCTTAATCATGCCGTGAGCCTGCTCAGTTAGCTTATGCAGTAGCTGTAGACATAGCACTTCAGGACATGGTTTAGTGAGCATGGTGGTGGTGGGTTGACGGTTGGACTTGGTGATCTTAGAGGTCTTTTCCAACCTTAATCATTCTATGATTCTAAGTGCCCTGAATGGGTACTCATTTTGGAGGCATTTAAGATTAGAGCGCTGGGTCTCTCTGCAATCCATGCAGAAATATAAGCATTTTAAAAAAGTGAGTCAGTCCTTTGAAAATCTGGAGGTGCCTGTCCCAAAAATCAGATGGGGTAAATAAAACCCAACCATCTCATTTATGCCTTCAGTTAAAGAAGTTAGAGGTCTGATACCTACCAAGGATGACACCAGGGAAGTCATCACAGAAGGTTGCTTACCTTTGCCGCATCCTCTCGCAGCATGTCCAGGCGAGACATGGTGTGAGCCGCAAAAGCCAGAGCTGACCCTGTTTTTAAGCTGCCACCTTTGAGGGAGAGATCCTGGATTGCCACCAGCATTTCTTCAATGGTCACGTAATCTGTGAGCTCAATACTCATCCTAGGAATGAGAAATGGGGCAATACGAGTGAATAAGGAGCAAGAAAACACTATTGTTACAGCAAGGATGCATTGCTAATAGTAACGACCAGCAATAATATTGACACTTAGCTGGTCACACTAGGCTCATATCTGTAGTCACAGAATCACAGAATCATTAAGGTTGGAAAAGACCTTCAAGATCATCAAGTCCAAACATCAACCCAATACCACCATGCCCACTAAACCATGTCCTGAAGTGCCACGTCTACATGTTTTTTGAATCCTTCCAGTGATGGTGCCTCCACCACCTCCCTGGGCAGCCTGTGCCAATGTTTGACCATTCAGTAAAAAAATTTTTCCTAACATCTAGTCTAAACCTCCCCTGGTGCAACTTGAAGCAATTTCCTCTCGTTCTATTGCTAGTTACTTGGGAGAAGAGACCAACACCCACCTCACCACAACCCCCTTTCAGGTAGTTGTAGAGAGCAATAAAAGAAGAGAGTCCTCTTCACAGTGGTCAAGGGAGTCCAGGGTATGAGCCCCAGTGCCTTGTTACCATAAAATGCTATCTAGAATTAGATGGTGGGGAATTTCTTGTGCCGGCATTAAATATCAGCCTCCCTCCCCTGAAAGAGTCCCCCACGGTCAAGCACCTCTAGACTCTGGTGATACTGCTAGGGGTTGAACTCTTGCTGTGCTCTTAGCAGAGCAGCAAGAGCTCTTTAACCATGGGGACATAGTTGCTCGTCTAGAGCTATAGTGCTATAGAAACCTGGGTGCTGGTGGTAGAGGATGGACTGACCCACCTTGGTTTCTCCCCATAGAGTGCCACTGCCAGCCGGATGCCTCCTTTGCCCATCACCACGTTCTCAAAGGAACGGGCCATGCTGATGATGAAGTCCTTGACCAGCCAGTATCTCTCCCTCTCTGTGCCCTCTGACTGCCCCACAAGGAACAAAATGTCAGCCACCTCCGCCGTCCTGCATGCTGAGGGAGAAGAGGGGCAAGAAGGCTCATCTCACACCATGCAATAAGCCAGCCAGGACATAAACCCCACTGAGTCATGAGAACCCCCAAGATACTGCAGCTAAGGAAAACAGACCATGCTTAGGCCCAGTGAAGTGGGTAACCATGGGCTTCCCAGAGCAACAGGCTGCTTTGTTCTCTTTAATTTCCTCATAATTACCCATTTTGTTGTTCTCACCCAGGGGAATTTTCTCATTTGAACCACAAACATCGAGGCCCAGATCCATCAAGGCATGCAGGTCTGTAGGACATGCTGGAAGCAAGTGGATGCCTGGGGCTTCCATATGCCCACAGGCAGACATCAACATCTGATACATGCACAACTGAATTTTGGGAATGTGGCAGCTCTGCCACTCCACCAACCATCCTGGGCTTCTTGCATCAAGGTCTCCAGAGCCAGCGTAAGACACCCATGCAGACATGGGGCCACCTGGCCATCCATGCTTTGCCAGCCCTAAAACAACCCAGTCTTCCAGTCCTGCACAGAGCGAGCTCAGGATGCTCCGTGCATTCAGCTCTGCAATGCTCCCCTCTTGCCAAGCTGCCAGAGGCTCTGAGCATGAAAAGTATCTTGTGCAAAGAATGAACAATTTGAGCGATTTTTCTGTACAAAGCCGGAGCTATCTGATGCCAGCTGGCAGGGAAGGGACAGGTGTACAGGGGAATTTGTTTAATGAACATCAAGGCATATTTCCCTTTACAGTGTTCAGTCTCAATTGAATTTCATTTTCTTTAGGCATCCGATAAATACATTTCATGGACAGAAATCTGATGACTTTTAGGGACGCTTAAATTAGTGAGGGCTCTACAAGGGAAGTTCAAAATTTACATTTTCTTTGGTGTTTCTCTCCCTTGCAGATAGATGCTGAGTTATTACTGTAGGGCTGCTAAAACGGAGGCTGCGCTGGCTGCTGGAGGAGGGCTTTTTGTACTGCAGACTTGCTCACCAGGACTGAGCTCAACTTCTTTGATTTCCCCCCCCCCTCATTTTGTGTCACTGCTGCTTTGGACTTCACCCAGCTACTGCCTTGACTTTCAGCTGCAGGTCTGGAAATCAAGTCATACCCAACCAGCCTGCAGCAATTGTTCCAGTTTGCTGGGGAGACGCGCTAGGCAGGTTTCTCATGCTTCTGCTGCAATGGAAACCCTGTTTTAGCTTGATCTCTTCAATTTAGACTTTTCTATAAGCAGGCTCTCCAAAGGGCTTGGGAAGATGCAGGTTTTGTGCTCTCCTTCATTGTTGTGTCCCTAGTCCATCCTCTTTGGCCACACAGCAGGATGGAGGATCACTTGCCAGCTGCGGATAGATGGCAGTCCAAGGGTCTTTGTTAGCAAAGGCTTTTTGGTTTCTTCATCTTTCTTTGTGCCTCCTGACATTGAGCTCTTCATGACTTAACAGTTATGTTTACTGCAGAAATATAATGACTGGCTCTTTTTCATTTAACTTGTACCCAGCTGGGAATATAAAACATTTTCCCTTGACAAAAATGGGAGACAATTATTTCAATTTTCCTTCCTAGAGCTCTCTGTTGAGTCCTCCCTTCCCCTCTCAATGCTCTGTAAGTGTTTTTCAGCTGAGATGTCAGGGGTGCCTTGGAGGCAGCTCAGCTGCTAATAGCAGATCACCACTCTTTTCCCAGCTGCCACTTCTATTTTGGATCTACCCCTTTCCCCTCGCTTGGACCTTGATGTCCCTGTTCCCCTAGAAGGACTCAGAGGGAAGGCAATGCCAGTCCTTGGCTCTGACCTCAGCACTGGTGGAAACTGTTCAACAGCTTATCAGGGTAACCACAACCTGTATTACCACAAGAAAAATCCCAACGAAGGTTCAACAAGATGGAGAAGACCATCCACCAGCCCTCCCAAAATCACCCACCTCTTGGAGCTACTCAAGGCAGTGCAGACAGCTTTTCCTGGGAGATCTGGATTTTTGGCCCTGATCCAGAAAACATACTCAAAATGCCATTGGTATCAGAGGGTCCTTTGCTACCTACCTCTCCACATCCCAAATCCCCAGAAAGCCTCCTCCATCCATGCCTGGCCCCTCAGAGCCTCACTCACCCTGCACAATGCTCCTGCCCTCGTTTGCATCCAGGGATAATGACAAAGACAACAAGCAAGAGGTCCAAGGGATTAAAAAAGGCAGCCTTTCTCTATAAAGTGGCAACAAGAGCCCATTCTGTGAGATGCTGGGCCAAGAGCACCTTTCAGGCTCAGCTTGGCAATAAAACCCAAGCGTGTTTGTGCTGCTTGGATCAGGTACCTGAGGCTGTCATTGGAAACATGTGATGTTAAGAATATTTGGATTGGTACCTTCTGGAGAAAATACCAACACAGACAGCTATATTAATCACAGGGGGATATGATTTTATTTGAAATTTTCCATGCACCTCCAAAATTACCACGTTTCATCAATCACAGGTTTGCCAGAGACATCTGTAAACGTTGATTTATTGCACTGTTCCCAGCTTTGAATTAAATAGCATTATAGTCAAGTATATTGGCTTAATTGACAGGCAGGAACTTAATCAAGTTAATTTTGTAGCTGATGTCAAAGCTTCCATTAACTCCTTGTTGAATTTATTGGATTTAGACCAGGTGAATTTATACCTTCAAAGCCTGGGGGCTTGTTGCTGCAGATCAATTTGATGAGGGAGGACTTATTGGCTCATACCCAACCCCATGACAGTCCTGGGAGTTCTGGATTAGCTTCACAGGATGCTCACAAGGAGCGTCCCCCTCCTGCAGGACCCTGAGCCTACAGAGGCATGCCATGGATCATGCTGTAGCTCCATGAGGCTCTTCTCTGGGGTACTTTTGTCTCCTACCTTTTGGCTCTGGCTCCTTCTCCCCAAAAGTCCTTTGTAGACTTGCACAGGCAACAGGGAGCCAAGGAGGAGTTGAGTTGTCCTGTTTCGACTCTCTAAATAGTAGCAGAAGGCCTCAAGAATTTCTTGAGGACTTTTCTCTCATATCTCTGTGTGGTGGCCTGTACCAGCTTTTGGTGATCAGAAGAGGAATCAGGTTGGGACAGGTTTTCCCTTTCTCCCCACCTTCCTCTGGAGCAGCTGAGGTGGGACAGTATCAGAGGCAGGACAGCAAGATTTTCTGATTTCCCCATAAACCCAAGTGCAGCAAGTCAGGTCCTGCCTGCCTTTTGTGGCCACCTGAGATGCTCTGTTAGCCAGACAATCCTGACCTAAAAGGACTCTATGCAGAAGTTAAAGGCATTGGCACTACAGCTCCACCCTGACAGCATCTGCGTATGCATCCATGACGTTAGCCAAAACAGCTGCTTGAAAAAGGTCATTTTTCTCCCTGATGTGTCTCAGCATCACCCCCAGCTGCTGCATTCATGGTAGCCCACTTGTCACATACCTTCATGAACAGCCAAGGCTCTGTACTGCACCACAGCCACAGCCAGGGCAAGGATCTGGGAATACAACATTTTCCTTTTCCTTGGGAAGAAGCTCCTTCTTGATTCCTGGAGTCAGCACGCAGCCTGGAGAGTCATTCATCTGCAGCAGAAAGAGGTTTTGATGCATGCCATCCAAGTACAATGCTCCCACCTGCCTACAGTGGCAAGGGAAGCTTTTCTCCAGCTATGAAGGCTCATCTTGGCTTAGGCAATCAGCATTAAAGTCCATAAATCCACTAATTCCTCCATCTCTTTGCTGATGCTGGCTACAGGGAAGACCTCAGCTTTGCTCCTCCAGCATCCTTCCCTAACAGCACCCTTCTTCAGGCAACAACCACCTTAGGCAATTAGTGATGTGATGAAAGAGGGAAGCATCTGCTGCGTCAACCACACAGGGAGGAAAGATCAGCCTATGAGCCTTGCTAGGAGATGACTGTAGACAGCAACCACCCATATTCAAGTCTTTATTAGCCTGTTTTGTGACTAACCTTCAGGTTCCTAAATCCAGGATTAACTGCCTCATGCTTGCTGCCCTTGGACATCCAGCCCACCATCATGGAGCTGCTGAAGGGGGCTGAAAGCTCTGGCTACTGCCTATGGACAGTTTAGTGACTCCCCAAACAAATGCTGACTGCCCGTTAAGGCTACAGAAGTCTCCCTCTACAAAACAGGGACTTCTCTCTACGATGCAACAACTGCAGCAGAAGTGGCATTGGCAGCAGGTGGTTTATTATTTTTTAATGGGCAATAAAAAGTTCTTCTGTTCTGAGCCTCATCTGCTTGTCTTGGGCTGAGCAGATTTCACATAGAGACATGGACTGCTTTCAGGGTGGAAATTACAGATGTGGGGAAAAGATGAGCTTGATGACTTCATCCAGCCTAGCTCTTTGCCAGAGTTGGATTGTTTCTTTCAGTTAACAACAGGCAACCTCAAAATCACATTGTATTATAGACTGGGTCCCTTTTGGAAAACAAGGCTGAGCTCCTGTGCACAGCCTGAGATAATCCCACCTAAATGAATCCCAAAACCATCAAGATGAAGGTCAAGCAGCTGGAGCAGCCTGGCATGCATCTAGACTGCTGGGGCACCACGGCTGTGGTCACCTTGCCCATCACATAGCCACACCCATCTCTGAGACCCTCAGGACTTAAGTTCCCCTAATGTGCCTTCTTGTTTCTTACCTTCCCCTCTCTCTTCTCCTAATTACTGGGTTTACCTGGATGTAATCAAGATCTCTGCTGTGCAGCAGTTAACCTGGGCTGTGTCCTTCCTTTGTAACTGCTGTCAAAACCTCTGTGTGGTGTGTGTGGTGCTGCCATTAGTTGCTGTGGAGATGGCTTTCAAAGCAAAAACACAGTCCTCCCCCCCCCCCCAAACAAAAAAAACCCCACAAAAAACCAAGCAAATGTAGGCTTTTTTTAACAACAGGCATAAACAAGCTTCTAGAAAATCAAGTAATGGAAGAGGTGTGCCGAGCTGAGACCTAAGAAAACTAGGTTTTACCCCCAGCTCTTTTGCAAGAGTTGTGTTACGAGCTTTGGC